TTTATGATAATAAACCAAAACGATTTACAATGGTTTATCAACCCTCATTCCATCCGCTCGCGATAAATCCACTGCCCGTCGATTCAACCGGTTTCATCGGCCCGCATCCAACGCCCCGCCGTTCGTCCAGCATCCAGCCCCACCATGTCATCGCTCATCGTCATCGCCTGACCGCGCTATCGCCCGCCCGCCGATCCCGAGTTCATTCCCGCGTCCACTCGTTCCGTCCCCACCACCCAGCAGCATTCGACCCGCTAATCGCGGTTCGGCAAAACACCCAGTACACTCCAGCATCCATCATTTATTACCCAGAAAGCGACTATCCGCACCGCATCGAGCGAGCGCCGGTCGGTTTATCTGCTCTATGTTCTATCATACCACTTTATATTTATTTACGTTTCCACCGCAAACGCACCCAACGATCCAGCGTCGCCCGTTCTTAACTTATCCGCATACGCCGCCATGGCGATTTCATTTATTCATGGCATGTTCGCCCGTTTTGAATTTTGCACCATCGTCGAATCGAACGCATTAGCACGAAATCATTCAAATGATATAGATGAGTCATCAGCAAATGGGTGAGTTGTGTGGTCTCGGTTAAGTTTCAATTTGATGAATGATACCGGTTTGTCTGGCGGCGGAATATCGAGTCGGATTCTGCCTCATTTGCATTCCATAATGTTTCCCGAACTGGAACCGATGCACCGAAGTTGTTATTACATAACATTAAGCGTCCATGAAAGTTTCGGTTCCATTGCATTCCACTTTTCAGGCGATTCATCCATTAGCTGGTTGGCTGTTCGAACGGCATGGAAATATTTGATCAAGTTGCGTTATTTATTCGAAGTTATTCGGCCATATGCGATTCGAGGCGAAAGAAATCGGTCTTCCGGACAGTAACTGCGCCGTAGGTGGGCTTCGAATTCGTTGAAGTCGGTTCTGCCGCTTTGTTTAGCCAGTATCTACGGATCTTTATCGTTTGAAAACGGATGACTCAGAGGTATCATCATCGCTTGATCGGTCTCATATGCGCATGACATATCGATGTCGCCAATGATTCATTATCATGCATGTAATTATAATTCCGTATCAGCGCGATTTATCAGTGTTAGCTGCCTCATGTACGAGATTGGTCAAAGTTTGAGCTCCAAGCTGAAAGTACAGAGTTACTATGAAGTGTTTGATCCTGAGGTCATCGGCGAAGTTAATGAAGATCTGACGATGTAGTAATATAAACCGAGTCCCCATGGGTATTTAATTGAAAGTTCCAGGATATGCATCGATGGTTACGTTTTATGATGAAAACCATTCACGATCATTCATTGACACAATATCTATGTCATTTTAGTTCTCAAACTTTGATAGTCTCAAATTGCCTTTACCGATGGAAGTAATGTCCATATGAAGAATGATGGAATGATGAGTTTTATAAATGGTCCCAGATATCATGAATCAGATGGAGCAACGAACTTGAAATGAACGATGAAGATTCCATGAATAGGAAAAGATGATGAAGAGGAGTGATTTATTTTGAAGTCCATGAATCTGTCTCCAGAAACGTCCTTTTTCAAAATGAAGTCTTCGAATGATCGATTAATTTATGGTGGAGTTGAAAGCTGGATGGGTTCGACTGTCATCATCAATTGTTAGCGATCCATTCATATCGACTCGAATTGTTTCAGTCTTCGATCCTTGATCCGGAGTTTTGTAACATCGATTTGAATTGAATTTATGCACCCATCGAGTTCGAATGGATTAGAAGACTCCGGTGGAATGAAATGAGGAGTCGATGTTTGTGATATCATTCATCGATATCGAATAGGTTGCATGGTACCATGTCGATGAAACCATGGTACATTTTTGAATACTGCATACGGTTGACTGAATCATTGTTTCAGATAGTATTCAATATATGTTGTCAGGTCATCGAAATGACAAACATGATTTGTAAAATCATTAGTCCGCCACCGAAATATGATTCATCATGATTTCTTCATTCTGAAATGATTCACAAATGGATTAGATTTGGCATGGAGTTATAATTCAAATGAACTTGTTAGTGATTCATCATTCATATTTAATAAGTTGATGTTTTGCATAATATTGTATATCCTTCGTCCCTGCTAAATTATATCGTCACTTATTTCTAGTAATTACTGAAACGATAGTAAAATGATTTTTCTCGTCCGGATGAGGTTTTGTCACTACTAAGAATTTCATGGAATAATTTACTACGAATAATGCATGATGGAATATGTGAATCCAGATGATAAGATTTGCCTCAAAATACGGAAGTGTTTTCACAGATTTCGACAAGATTGTTTCTTCCATATCATTTGAAGTATGTACGCTTTTACGAATTTGACTTGGTTTCAACCTTTACCTATCTTTCATCGGCGGAATCATATTCATCTGCCGAACTACCTATTGTTCTACAGCCAGTATGAATGGTTCAATGGAACGTCCGAAACAGCCACACCTACAAACATGATTATGATTCCAGGCGGAATAACAGCCTGTTCCAATCAAGTAGGTGAAGAAAATGAAGTTCAATATCTCAAGTCCCCGCACAGATGCATGTCCCGCGCCCTGACTACCATCGTCACACCCCAAGGAACACGATATGGATAAAGAAATTGTCTGTTTCCGCCAGACATTCTTGAATAAACAAGCGTAACAAAATTCCGCCGCATACCATGACATCCCAAGATTCTTTGATGAATGTTTCAGTTTGTCCATATTTCATCTTATTCCACTAATTGAATTTTTACGTAGCGACTTAAAACTGTTGCAACGATGCTGACATTCCAGACATTTTGTATTAAAATTACCGTCATTTCACGACAGGCCTGTCATTCTTTGACATGTCAGTGACTCTGTATAAATATCCATCAACATGGATTCACTCTGTGCCTTGGGCTATCAATAGCATGCTCATTTCAGGCTGACCTGTTCTCCATCAATCACGGACCAATTTGAATACGAATGGTTCATTTTCAGTGGGAGATTGATCACGCTCTTCGAGAAATCTATAGTTGACGGCTTGGGTAAGGAAATCAATGGGTTTATGTGTGTTTTTGTAGTTCAATTGTGGTGAGGTAGACTAGCCGTTAAAGCTTTCGCTCATCACATCGAAAGTCCGAGTCGATTCCCCACCTTGGTGCAATCTGTGAAACATCTTTCTGATATGTGATATTGCTGGAATATACCTTAAAGCAGCGAAAAACCATACAATCCTCAATCTTCTTAATTAAAAGGAAGGCAGCTTAAAGATCAATCCCGAATTTAGCTATTATAAAATCATTAATATAAGAAAGAATCAATTTATGATTGCACATTGTCATATGCAAATATTGTATGAGTAGTTGTACTAATTCGTTTCCAAATGATAGTCTCGGAAAAAATTGTGACGTAGTGTGACATTTAATAAAGAGGACACTTTTCCTTAATACATGAAGGTACCTACCATCCCCCATTGACACAACTTGTACAAGCAACGTGTCCTTCTATCATCTGTCTATTTTCTTGCATTACTATATCTTATATCAGTGTAAAGCTCATTTCTAGTCCCCCGGCCGTGGTATGCTGCAGTATCCCAAAAAGCGGCGTAAAAGTAAACTCACTCATTCACTCTTATATCACATGGGCGTTAGGCGTTGAAGATATAACAGGCGATAATGTTACTTTAATTCCACGCTTCATAAAATAGTTGCACGACAAAGTCCTGAAGACGCATTTTGTCTATGAATGGTGCCGATCATTACACGGATGACTACATTTGACTGTGTAATATGTTTAAAATGACCGATCAAAACATTCATTTGCAATTGTCGAGACATGCTCATTCGTTATATAATTAATCTGAAAAACAGCTCGTCTGCCCTTTTGTTGTTGAAGGTATATATGTTGGCTTTGTGTCGGGTTTCGTCTGGGATCTGAAGGCTCCATGAACAGACTACTACATTATCAGTAAAGCATTCAATCTCGGAGTCTCTAAGATATTGATTCAAAAGTCTGAGAGAACGTTTAGGCAATTCTTGCAGGCTCAGGAGACCCTAATGACGTCGACAAGACAGCATCAGTCACAGATGTCATCTTCTGTAACTACGAAGGACAACAAACGTGATCGTTGTCATGAACGTGTTCATACTTGACACCATGAATCATCATCACAATTATCATCTTGGGAATGTAGCGTAGGTAGGTGATACCAAACATATCTTATTTGGCAATAAATGACGCTATTTGAAGTTCTTGTTTGGGCTGGGTGTGTGGTTCAGCGGCAGGGCTGTATTTGTTGCTCAATCCCCTGTAATGGCTCCTAAGACATGGTATGAAGTAGACGAGTATCCTTCCGCATGTATGGGTGTCATTAAAAGTGCTCATCCCGCCATGGAAATTAATTTTCTGAGCTCGGCAACAGACGTTGTAGTCACAAGATCTTTAGGACGACTGATCATCTCTTGACAAGAAAAACTAATTTCAGCATACTATGCAATTTCCACTGCAGCTGTTCAAGTCATCTATCTGGTCCAACAAGACATTACACGTGAATATGCTATTATCATTAGTCAATCCGTAATAGGTCTCACATACACATGCAAAACGTTTAATCCAGAGAATAAGGAACTTTCAATCTAACTCCGTCACCAACCACGGGGTGAGTTTGTGTATAGTTAAGACATGCTCTTATCTGCATAGTAAATGCAACAAGAGCACCGAGAACAGAGGAGTCTAGCCGGTTTATACTAAGCTGTCATGTCCTGATAGGATGTCGATTTCAATGCGATTACAACCTGATTTATTTACTCCACGATAGTTAGCTGCCCTGAGCGTTGAATTTTTTTTACATTGTCACAACCAAGTTTATTAAAACCCGTAGTCCAGGCGAGAGCGAGCGAACAAGTGTGTATGAGCATGGGCTTGTGCGCGGGAAAAGCATGCAGCACGTGCGCGTGTCCTACATAGGCTGGTTAGGCGGTTGTCTGGGTGCACAGCGAGTTTAGAGAGCGTCCATGTCGGATCTATGCTGTGTGTTTCTCGTCATATTTGGTCACTTGGATGTGTGAGTACATTGACGTATTATCTTTAGAATTAATATTGCTTAGATTCTATATTTATGCAACATTTCTTGGTCACTTGGGCGTAATATGGGAGTGGTAGAGCAGTGTTTATGGTTTCTGTTATATGGTTAGAATGTTTAATTTTGTCATTCTTTGCAGTGAACGTGAGTACGATTTTTGTGAATGAATATTTGAGTATTCGTGGAAGTTGTATGATTTGCATTGTGTGAATTGAATGACAGCGTTATACTACAATTCGTGTATTTTGTAGTTATCGTGAATGTTAAGGAAGTGTTTGCAATAGTCAATTACGTAATATCACCATAAAAATGTTGAAGGCATACATGTATTGGTATAGTCTCGGAGTGTAAGCACTATAGTGTAGTAATATAGTGAAATGTAGTGCTGTGTATTTAGTATTCACTCCAAATGTTACAGCAAAAGCCTACGGATGGGCGTGTATGTGCGAAGTCGTCACAACGTCACGTCGAGGGCGCTTCGTTACGGTGTGGAGACGATGTCCCATGGGAGTGTTGACCTTGGCCAGGTCGTGTGTTCATAACCCTAGGATGTTCAAGCCGGTTGCCGCCTGAATCAAATACCCTTCTTACACTTGAGTGTACCGAACCTGGAGAGGATCCAGCGACAGAGGCACAGATGACGACGCATCTCTGACTCCTGTATAACCGTCATGTGTATGACATAAAAGGACATGTAATAGTACCATCCTTTAACTGAACATTGTAATCAGTTTGATATTCATGCATTGGCACAGTTACTGTGAATATGGTTATACGAATCCTATAATTCTTGTATAATCTGTTGTCATAGAGGTGAATAAGAAATACATGTAATTCATAGTGTAGATATTTTTGTTTATTATATTAAGTAACGTATGTGTTTGTATACACATAGACGTGTGGGTATGTAAAGTAATTGGTTGTCCGTGTGGGATGATGTGTTATGAAATGGGTGTTGGGAAGATGTCATTGAGTCGGGTGAAACTTACTGTAGTATGTCTGAGTGAATAGGGTTTACTTGTAGGGATCATGATAGGCGTGTATGGTGAATTTGAAGATGGATGTTTCGTGTGTTGTAATAACTTTTTAATAAACTTATGTTGTTGATCTCCATACTGCACTGTGTTGTGATGTTGATGACGCTCTAGGGCTATTCCGTGACATACATGTATTAGAATTTTGTAGCAGCAGTAGCATTTACTATTTTATGACTTTATGGCCGTTAAAATGACCCCAATAGCCGCTTTTAAAGAACGTTCTGCCAGACTTCGTCTTCGAGACGTGAATTTGCCATCTCAGGTCATGTAGGAAAGGGCTCAAGGCAAATTCGGTTAGTGCATTCCCACAGAAAATCCCTTGCCCATTACACACGACGCCATTGGTTTTCATCTGTTATTATTCTCCTTGAGCATAACGCCAAAGTGCCATGGAAGTGCAGGTGATTCTTCTGGGGATCGTGTGGTCAATGTGGCTAACTCTAAACACACATGTAGCCCAATGAAATCAATAAATGTTGATCTCATCCGTGGTAGAATAAATGTTCTGGCATGACACAACACTGACATGTTTGTCCACTCCATGTACATATATACTCATGGAAACGAATAGGGGAACACCTGAAAGTACAAGTGTTTATTCTTTTCCAGAATTGCACCCACAGTGCAATACAACGCATGTGAAGAAACCTGGAAAAGAATAGGAACACTTGTACTTTCAGGTGTTCCCTTATTCGTTTCCATGAGTATATATTTCATGAAAATGCCAGCTACTTACACGCAATTGAATATTATTCAAAGGTTAGTCCTACGAATGCGATGCACACAATACCACTCGCGAACGTCACTATCATGTCTACGGTTATTTAGCTTGCATCAATGGGCAGATTGTTCTTTGAGACGCCCCTTCGTTTCGCTATCAGTTGCTTGGATGCCACAAATGGATAAACGTTTATCACGAGATAACCCATTTCACATCAGATTTACAAAAACTAGATGAAGGGACAAGATCCTACTAAAACGAAACAAGCATTCAGCAAGGCAGATAATCGCTTGAAATGAATACGCCAGACAAGACCTTTTGAAGCGAAATCTCACTTTCATGTCCAACAATACAAAAAGGTTCTTTGGAAGAAGATCAATGAAGTCTTTTGAACGTCCAAATGTTTATTACAATATAACTGGCAGATGCAGTACATTGTATGAATGCTCACACGTTTTTAGCTTCGAGTGTTATCTAGTGGCACTGAAACTTTAAAAAATATAGGCACTGTGGCTTTCGTAAAATAACATTTTGAAATGTATTGTAGGGTCAGTACTTTTCAAAAGTGCCACACATCTTCGAAGTTTTAATCTGTAAAATGCTAGCAGGTAATGTTGATTATATTTAGTGTCTTGAAATCCTATTCACGGGACCATTATACATGCTACATCGTGACCTCATTTTGTCGAGGTGAGTTGAAATGGGGCTTACAGACTTCCTAGGTTACAGAGATACCAGGTGGGAGGTAAATATTGGTACCACCTCAGGCACAGCGTCTTGACTCCGAACCGACTAGAAGGTGTTTCGTCCTCTTTATAGCACCATCTTTTACTGAATTTTGGAAAGCGGAATCAAAGAGTTGTCGTTGTAACAAGACGTAACGAGGAGTGAGTGAGTATGGTTTAACGCCACTCTTAGCAATATTCCAGCAGCACCAGAAATGGGCTTCACACATTGTGCCCATGTGGGGAATCGAAACTGGGTCTTCGGCGTGACGAGCGAACTCTTTAACCACCTGGCTACCCCACCGCCCCAATTATGGTATGACCCTCCTGGGATCGAACCATCGACCTTCCGCTCACCAAGCGCATGCTCTATTCACTTCACCATTGAGGAGTTTGAATTATTGATAAAGCAAAATATCAGTAATTGCAATCAATAATGAATTGTATGAAACGTCAACGCCAAAGAATATCCAGAATATAAAACATTTTCTATTGGACCTTAAATGCGAAACAGCGTTGAAAAATATATGAGTGAATCACTGATGACACCAAGCGTTCGCTAAAAAGGTAAGCGTGTCCTGCCACACGGGTGGCCCGCCAGTGGTTTGTTGCTACCCCGCACAGAAACAAAATAAACAAATCAGACACTTATACGAGCCATTGAGCAAGGAGCACTGTCCTTCAGTAGCCCTTTCCCTGCACTTGCTGAAAACCACTTCTGAGAATCTAAGTATAAAAATAACTGCAAAAGGGAATGAGATTCAAACTATTACCTCTGATTGCCACAACACGCTCTGATCTTTGCCTCTGATTATGAAAAGAATCAAAGCCAGGTGTATCTACAACGCATTGAACAGGCTTGGTATAGACTCATCACGGATTGATTTGAAAACACGAAGCTAAAGTTTCAAATGACCATTACACCAGATTGCAATTACCAACGTTAAAGATCGCAGGAGGACCTTATCAGACCTAAAAGCACTATATGCCATCAATCTGGTTTGATGTCTCAGGGGCAATTGGTCTCCGCGCAAACATATTGCCAGAGCCCTCTCATACCAATCTGAGTCCAGGCCAGATATTACTACTTGGAGTCATACAGACTAGCCATAATAGTGTTCACGAGTTCATTGTATGATACTCTGTCGTTTGTATGAGATTGGGATTAATCGTAGTCATGTCCATGAATGTTTTTACGTCCTGAATCATGTAAACTGTTGGTATGATACCTGTGTACTGTTTGTACAATTGAATTTCTTTATATTTTTTTTGTTTTTAGATTATGTAAAATAATATACAAATGAATTAATGCTTTTCTTGTCAATTATCTTTGCACACAATCCTACTGCCTCTCATATAATTTGACATAATATTCACATCATGGAATAAAACAACGTCATTTATTGGCATTACGACAAACCAATTTATTCAATGTCAAAGCACAGACCCTTTCTTTGTTCTATGATAATAAGTACGATTATGTGCTTGTGAATCTAAACAATGTGAAAAAGGTCCACGACTCAGATAATTTTTATCCATAATAGTATTTAAGCTCTTGTGTAGTGATATAACTGAATCCATCAAACTCCTATCGCTCACTGCGCACAGACAAACAATGCACCTAACGAAATCTACCTTTGGTTCAGCACTTCTTTTAATACTTTTTGTTTAAGTCCCCACCAACGAGGTTAGGTGACGACGGGATAGTTTAGTGTCATTTAAAGTAATGGGATGTCAGCCAAGCATTAACTCTGTCACGTCCCCTCATTTCGAAAGTAGTTGAAGCTGTCAAGGAATAACGAGGATTAATATCTGTTTGATGGCACCCATCATTTGTATTCTGCAGACATAGCTGAAGGCTCTCACGCCAAATTACACAGTTAGGGCACCTAGGTCTAGACAACCAAATACGGCTGGTCCCAAGCAGGGCAAGGGGCACAATATTGTAACAATGAAATACCTTGTCAACGCCCTCCATCCAACTTTTGAATATCACCAATAGCTGATGACCCCATCAACAATCTAGACACAGATGTGGCATTATCTCTGATGGAAACATCTGTGACCCTCTCCGAGGCCACAAGGCCAATAGGAAAGAGTCGACGCTTACATTGTCCTGTTGATAACTGACTGACTGACTGAGTTTGGTTTTACGCCGCTCTTAGCAATATTCCAGCAATATCACGGCGGGGGACACCAGAAATGGGCTTCACTCATTGTGCCCATGTGGGGATTCGAACCCGGGTCTTCGGCGTGACGAGCCAACGCTTTAACCACTAGACTACCCCACCGCCCATCCTGTTGATAAAGACGTCATAATGTAATTTGAAAGGATCACGACTGAACTGATCTGTAATACACTCAGGTCGCTTGGAGCCACATCAGAGATACAATTCAAGTATTGATTACACAAAATATATGAACATGAAAACAGTATTACAATGTTATTAACATATTTTTTTAAGAGCAATCGGGTCAGAAACAAAACATTCATGGAACATTCTTTCATTATTCTTTAATGTATTTATATCGTTCTTAATGTTCGTAATTTTCTGATAATAAAACGTAAATTCATTTCATATATGTTAGAGTTGATGCAGCAATATTTATGAATGAGTTCTCTCTACTTGAAATCTTGAGCTTTGTATGAAACGTCGATTCTGAAGGTTGTAAAGCTATCGATTTTAGGATGTGTGACCTTCAGCAAAACATTACTTGGCGGTCGGGACAATATTCCATATTACCGATTAACATACAGCGATCCATTATATACACCATTTCGTCTATTTTTGTATTATGACAACGATGCCGTTAAGTTACATCACACCGACCACTTATTCCTCGCGATTGCTTTCTAAGTTGCAATGGAACATATCATTTCAAACTGTTTTATATGAATTGTATCATATAATTCGTAAAAATGCCATCAGTCTGTAGCATTTATGGCTGTATAAACATATTAGTTTGTTCAATCGATCGCCTCTTGAGATGTTTCAGCCTGGACCAGGAAAGCGGAATCGCAGAGTTGTCGTTGTAACAAGACGTAACGAGGAGTGAGTGAGTATGGTTTTACGCCACTTTTAGCAATATTCCAGCAATAACACGGCGGGGAACACCAGCGATAGGCTTCACATATTGTACCCGTGTGTGGAATCGAACCCGGGTCTTCGGGGTGACGAGCGGACGTTTTATCCATTAGGCTACCCCACCGCCCCACGTAGCGAATAGCGGGTAGGCATGACTAGAGTCTTGGTTCATTGATACAACTCTGGGTGATGAGGAACTGAATGACACGTACCCACAACGCCATCATGTACCACTGGTGTAGAGAGCAACATGGTGACTCATATTGTCGGCTCTATCATTGGTCTTTTTCATTCACAGGTGCCGATCTAGACCATATGGATGAAAGTGTCCATGCCACTGTTACATCTTTATTTAAGTCATGGGTGTAGAATAAATGGTTGATACGTGTCCATGGCACTGCCGTATCTCTGTTGAAGTCATTATTGTCGAAAAACTGGATGAATGCTGTCCGTGGCGGTATCATGGGTCTGTTTTAGTTACGAGTGTAGAGTAACTGGTTGACGCGTGTCCATGGCACTACCGTATCTCTGTTGAAGTCATTATTG